AACAAATTATTTTTTCTACTTAACTTGTTACTGTATGCGAACAAAATGATAAACGTGTAATTATTTATAGGTTCCCATTATTTTTTCTGAAAATCAGAACACATTTATCAGCTCTCTTAAGGTTTTACGGACACATACAATGTACACGCATGCAAGCACAGAACATGCACGTTTTATAAGTGCATATGCAAGAGCGCCCCAAATATATGCATATCGAGAGTTTGAAATACAGAAAAATCCTAAATCCCGTATTTTTTTTCATTATTTTTGCAATAAAATATCGACTACACTGATTTACAGCATATATTAAAGTGAATTATAGGTCCGCTGAGTTGATCATGAGTTGTTTTTATAACGGGTAGTCCTCCTGGCCAGTCATCGTCACGGTTTGTAACATCGTAATTACACAGGTAAATGCTAAGATGTCAATCCATATATTTTCCATAAGAAATGAAATACCGGGAGATGTCTCGTTTTCTCTGATCATATATTAATTGACGGCGTTTATGAACAGCTGTTAAAACACAGGCCTTTGTAAACCGGTAAATCACAAAAAAGAAAAATCCGAGACATAAAAAACAGAAAATAAAAATGTCTCTGGAAATAACATTGCCTTTAGATAACTAAAATAAATTAATGTCCGCCGATTTTTTAATTAATCGGAACATTCATTGATGTGTACCGGTATAGTGTACCTGTACAGGCAGTGTGTATATTTTTATGAAGCCTTCGTCCAAACGAACAATATAATAAATCTTGAATGAATTAACTAACCCCTTCAGTACACACACATTCGCCTATACCTGAGATCTAATCAAAATCAGATCTTTTTTACGGCCCGGAATTCTGATAGTCGCTGTATTTCTAATCTGATTGACTATACACGTACCTTTAACAAATATTCTTTAATTTTCTTCGGGACCCCTGCATCACTAGTCAGGTGCTGTACCGACTGAGCTACCCAGGCCGATATCCACGACCCAAACCATTACAGTTTTATTAACTAATATCTTCATTTTTTTAAAAATAAATTTTTAACTTAATTATAAGAAATCAATGCACGTGCTCCACGTGTCAATTATTGTGATAGAGGTACTTACCACGTGACCTGATCATAATGCATTCACATTGGTCAACTCTGTGATGCATGGTGTGTATTTATCAAACCTTTCAAACTCTTTCCTCTTGACCACATCTTTAAGTGTATTAAAAAGTCAAGCGACTTCCTGTCAATTTTGAATATCGCCATCGCACGTGTATTTTGAACTTTGATTACCAATTTCATTATTTTCATCAATAATACATATCCTTTTAGCCTGTCATTTTCGGAATTTTAAAAACTAAACTTCACACAAAAAATCACGGACTTCTTGTTAAGTTATAATGCAAACAAACGACTGAAGCATCTTGAACACAAGAAGGGTTGGTGAGGTGCATAACAACATAAAAAGCAAAGGCGGATGCAGGGCCGTCGCGCCGGGCGCACGCCCCCCCCCCCTTCCGTTTGAATTTTTTGTATGTAGAACTTATATGTCCATTATCCTAAAATCAAGGAAAAAACATCTCTTATTTGTAAGAATTTGTCAACTTCTGGGGGCTTCGCCCCTGGATCCCCACCAGGGCTTTGTTATAGACCCGCTGGGGGCTTCATTGCAGCCCCCCCCAGATCCCTCCCCAGCCTTCTACTTTGCCCCCCCCCCCCCGTTATGAAATTCCTGGATCTGCCACTGCAAGGGGCGTAATAAACAAGAATAATATAACTTTGAAGGGATGTGATCTTCGGTATTGGTACTTTTACCTATGATATATACACAAAGACCTCTAGATTTACACGACAGAAATAAAGCTTGAGCGGCAGCTCTGCTTTAAAACATGTATCTACTTTTCGGTACAATCATAGAAAATTATAAGTATTTAGCAAATCCTTGCTACAAAGCACAAACACCATAATATTAAACTTGACATGTAACTAAAATTATTCCATCAATAATCCACGAACATACATTGAAAGGATTATAAATATCTGTAGAAATTAAAAAGCAATTTGGAATTAAAAAAAAAAAAAACTGTCGGCGAGTTTCTTATTGCTGCTATTGCGTTGAACATGCCATTTGATTGACAATCTCTCTATATATGTAATATAGAATTTTTTGTATAATTTTCATTTTTTATCTTAATAATTAAATATTACTGATTATTTCTATTTTTATCATTATTTTGTACTACACGTATGTGTTTGTGGTTTAAGTGCAAAGTTAGGCTGTACATTATAAAACTATAACATATGCCAGGACAGACATTTCTACATGTTACTTTTCAAGGACATAGCATCGTTTTTGAAAAAGGGGGGGGGGGTAGCCAGAGAAAAAATTAACTTACCTGAAAAGACTTCACAAGCAAAACCAAAATAGGAAAATAGCCCAGAATCCTATTTCCTGGCGGATGGGGACAACGGGACTATACTGCAACAAAAAGTGGGGGCCAACGGGACTTTCAATGAACATTACTAAAGTAAAAAGTTAGGTCTGAAAAAAGGGGGAGGCTGATGCTATGTGCCTGCTCTTATAGCTCATGCTTTATTTGATCTGCAATATCATAAGTTTACTTGATTGAGTATCTCGGAGTCTCTCTTATCCTTTGTACAGCCTTTTAGTTTGACCAACTATGCAAAATTTATCCTTTTGAGCAGTTGGCGTTAGGGCTTTCATACTCCACATCCGAAATTCTTTGTGACAAGACCTTTTCTTTGGAATTAATATTTTTGACCTTGTGACGTTCACCTTGGAGTTTGACCCACTTTTTTAAAAAAAAACCTTGGCAATACCTTTTGAACGGTTGGGACTAGTGTTTTCACATTCACAGGTGTATTCCTTGTGACAACGCCGTTCATTGGATATCAACAATTTTTACTATTTGACCTTGACCTTGGAGTTTGACGTACTTTAAAAAAATTAAAAGTTTTGACTTTTTACCTTTGACCTTAGAGTTTGACCTACCTTTGAAACATTTTAATCTCATTCATAACTTTTCAACGGTTGGTGTTAGGGTTTTCGTATTTTTACATGTGTGTTTCTTGTGACAAGACCCTCCCTTGAGTACCGACAGTTTTGACTTTTGTCCTTGACCTTGGGGTTTGACCTACTTTTGAAAAAAAAGTTGACCTTTGCCATAACTTTTGAATAATTAATGCTAGGGCTTTCATATTTCAATGTCTATTTCTTATGACAACGCATTCCTTTGGACACCGTTAATCTATCCTTGACCTTAACATTTGAATTGAGTATAAAAAAAAATTAACCTTTGCCATGCTTTTCAATAGTTAGTCTTAGCGGTTTCATATTTCACAGTTATATTCACTGAGACGAGATCTTTCTTTGGGTAACATAATTTCTTATCTCTTGACTTTGACCTTGGAGTTGGATACGGATTTGAGAAACTTAAACCTTTGCCATAAGCTGCAATACCGGGGCATCAGTGTTTCACAAACACGTCTTGTTCAATATCCAAACTGGACAAAAACATTCACAATGAATCCTTAAATCATTGTGTGGAACCTGGTAAATTATTTGACTCGATCTATGGTCTGAAAGAACATGGCTGACCTTATCCAGTCAATAACTCACAGATTGGGATTTTTCTTAACCAGTGTGTGTTATGGTCTTGATGAAAGGTCATTTGGATGAGTTTGGATGAGAAGCTTTAAATTCGTTACCGCCTTTTTCTAGTGAAACATTGTTGGTATCATGCAGAGTGTGACATGGCCTTAACTCAAGTTCAAGGTCACTAAGGATAAGATATTTTGACTGGATGTATGGACTGTATGAACATGTGTGAATTTGAGAAGTCAGTAATACACAGATGGGGTTTGCTCATAACCAGAGTGTGTCATGGCTTTCGCAAGGTCATTTGGACAAGTTCAAGGTCACATACATTCCTTTATAGTCTTTTTACTACAGAGTGAAACATTGTTAGTTGATACCTCTTACACGATTGCTTATAACCTTATGATATGGCATGACCTTGACTCAAGGTCACTTCTTCCTGCCTGCAGCTTCAACGGAAGACCTACTCGTTGCTTTGCAACGAGCTCGGCTCTAGTTGTACATTATTTTACTTGCAGCCTCAAAGATGTAGCAGGAATAGAAGACTGTTCAGGAATGAAAAATTGTGTTTCCCCAAGAAGAAGAAGAGGATATGGAGGAGGAAGAAAAAGAAGAAGAGGAAACAGGACCCTCAGTTGTGAAGATTACCTCTCCTGATGACATTCATCAAGTTCTTGAGAATGAGACTTATTTAGTGTATTTAGATCCGCTGTTGGGCTTAGCTAACAAAACTGTGCAGCCGACTTGCAAAGTGAAAGGATGTGGGAAGGCTGTTCAACGTATTTCCAGCAATGTTGGTTCTGCATTATACTTAAAATGGGTAATTTTTTTTAGGTTGTGAATGTCATGTGCTTGAACATTATGCTTATTTCCTCCATTTTGTCTTCAGGAATGTCCCAAATCACACAGTGCAGACGAATGGTGCCCACAGCCTGTCTTGAATCGGAGGATGCACGCTGGAGATCTAATGATAGCTTCAGCATTATTGTTCTCTGGAAACAACTTCAGCAAGATTGAGCTGTTTTCCAAGTTCTTAAGACTTGGGTTCAAAAGTGCATCTTCATACACAAAAGACAATACCTAGTTCCTTCCATCGATGATCTATGGTCAAAAAAGCTGAGAGATGATACAGGAGTTTAGGAACAAAGATCTAATTCTCCTTGGTAATTAATATATATACTATTATACATATGTATTAAACAAGTAATAGAATTAAAAAGTTTAATATCTAATATGTTTTGATCCTGTTATGTGAATATTGTAGGTGATGGACGAATGGATAGTCCAGGACACTGTGTACAATATTGCACATATACGTTCATGGAAAACACCACAAAAAAGATCTTGTGTGTGAAAGCACTTGAAAAGCGAGAGACATAGAAAAAAGCACTAATCTGGATGAAGGCAGGATTTGTTAGAGGCATGAAAGAAATAACGGACAGTGGCCTGAAGATTGCTGAGGTTGTCACTGATGCTCACCTCCAAATTGGTTCAATGATGAGTAAGTAATTATTTTGCATTTGTGAACTATTTTCAGTACAGTTGATAAAGAATGCATCACAATTATAATAATAGTCTTAATATACATGTACATAAATCTTTATCTTACAGAAAAGGATCAAGCACATATAACGCACAGTCATGATATTTGGCATGCTGCGAAAAATCTTGGCAAGAAATTGATATCAGTAAGCACATTTATGTTTATTAAACATTTCCTGTAACTTTTATTAAAATATATGGAGAAACAAAATATATCAAAGTCATTCATGTTTTTTTTTTCAAGGCTGGGCAAGAAAAAAGTTGCAAGGACCTACAAAAGTGGTCTAAAGATATAGTGAACCACTTTTGGTACATTTGCAAAACTGCCAACATCTTGGATGAATTCATGGTATGCAACATTAAACATACTACTGTACATTATTACATTAAAAGTTGTTATAAGACTATCCTAATAATAACTTTCTTATATAGGGAATGTGGGTTGGTGTGCTACACCATGTAGTAGGGGAGCATGAATGGCTCTTGCCCTACAGTGACAGTGGAGTTGCCGCATGTGCACATGATCCATTGACAGGGGAGCCTAGAGGAGACAAAGAGTACATGGTCAAGGGAAGTCCAGCTCATGAGGCACTAAGAAAAGTGATTTTGGATAAAAGATTTATGAACAACATTCACTACTTTTTGAATTTCAGGTAGGTCGCAACACACACCCATAAAAATTAAGATACATGTACATGTATGACATTCAATAGAAAAACCTGATATTTTCACAATTTTTTTTTTCATGCATACATACATGTATATCTGATTATGGCAAACTTATACAGTGCATGTTTTATTTTACAGAAGCACAGCAGAATTGGAAAGTTTCCACAACCACTTACTTATGTATTCCTCCAAAAGGTATGCATATACCTCACCTGTATATAGGGCAAGGAGTATCTTGGCTGCCTTGGACTATAATGTCAATATCAGTAGACCAGCAATTCAGAACAAGGATGGAACTTTGAGGTATTTTAGATAATTAATACTTCTTGATAATGTACATACAGAGCAAAGCATTAATTGGATTTTTTCACATTTAAGTCTGATAAACATCAAATGCTGATACTTCTGCATTCACTTTAAGAGCCAAGTGATTTATTAACAAAAAGCTCAATCACAACCAATAATTTTGAAGGTTGCAAAGGACTTGCAATAAGAAGTCAGGGAGATGGACTGTTTATCTTGTAAAGGAGAAGAAGCAGTATGACCACGTTACTGTTCTCCTGGACAAAGTTCTTCACAGACGGCTTGAAGATAGAGTAGGAGTCCATCAGCCCATGGAGTTAGAAGTAGGGGACTGAAGGAGGATCTCAAAGACAGTTGCTCCTTTATTGCCACCACCCTGAGCTCAATTACAAGAGGAGAAAAAGTCACGGTTTGACAAGTGAAAAATGACACAGTATCTACATGCATTAGTGTGGCATTTTTTTAACTGACCTAATGTACTTGAACATACCTTTTAGATAAAAGAGCTGTATACATTGTATACTTCTTAATTATTATGTACATTGCAAGTTAATTTGATGGAAATTGTGTACTTTTAAGGTTTATTTTGTAAATGGTCCAATCCTGTCATTCAAAGCCTTCCTTTTTAGCTCACCTGAGCTGAAAGCTCAAGTGAGCTTTTCTGATCACCCATTGTCCGTCGTCCGTCCGTCTGTCCATCCGTCCGTCTGTAAACTTTTCACATTTTCAACTTCTCAACAACAACTGGGCCAATTTTAACCAAACTTGGTACAAAGTATCCTTGGGGGAAGGGGAGTTTAAATTGTTCAAATAAAGGGCCAAGTCCCCTTACAAGGGGAGATAATCAAGAAAAGACAAAAATATGGTGGGGTCATAAAAAAAAAAAATCTTCTTCTCAAGAACCACTGGGCCAGAAAAGCTGAAACTTGTATGGAAGCATCCTGGGATAGTGTAGATTCTAAATTGTTAAAATCATGACCCCCGGGGGTAGGGCGGGGCCACAATAGGGAATCCAAGTTTTACATTGAAATATGTAGGAAAAATCTTGAAAAATCTTCTTCTCAAGAACCACTGAGCCAGAAAAGCTGAAACTTATGTGGAAGCATCCTGGGGTAGTGTAGATTCTAAATTGTTCAAATCATGACCCCCTGGGGTAGGGCGGGGCCAATATAGGGAATACAAGTTTTACATTGAAATATATAGGAAAAATCTTTAAAAATCTTCTGAAGAAGAACCAATGAGCCAGAAAAGCTGAAACTTATGTGGCAGCATCCTGGGGTAGTGTAGATTCTAAATTGTTCAAATCATGATCCCCGGGGGTAGGGCGGGGCCACAATAGGGAATACAAGTTTTACATTGAAATATATAGGAAAAATCTTTAGAAATCTTCTTTTCAAGAACCACTGAGCCAAAAAAGCTGAAACTTATGTGGAAGCATCCTGGGGTAGTGTAGATTCTAAATTATTCAAATCATGACCCCCGGGGGTAGGGCGAGGCCACAATAGGGAATACAAGTTTTACATTGAAATATATAGGAAAAATCTTTAGAAATCTTCTTTTCAAGAACCACTGAGCCAAAAAAGCTGAAACTTATGTGGAAGCATCCTTGGGTAGTATAGATTCTAAATTATTCAAATCATGCCCCCGGGGGTAGGGCGAGGCCACAATAGGGAATACAAGTTTTACATTGAAATATATAGGAAAATCTTTAAAAATCTTCTTTTCAAGAACCACTGAGCCAAAAAAGCTGAAACTTATGTGGAAGCATCCTGGGGTAGTGTAGATTCTAAATTATTCAAATCATGACCCCCGGGGGTAGGGCGAGGCCACAATAGGGAATCCAAGTTTTACATTGAAATATATAGGAGAAATCTTTAAAGATCTTCTCAAGAACCACTTAGCCAGAAAATCTGAAACTTATGTGGAAGCATCCTGGGGTAGTGTAGATTCTAAATTATTCAAATCATGACCCCCGGGAGTAGGGCGAGGCCACAATAGGGAATCCAAGTTTTACATTGAAATATATAGGAGAAATCTTGAAAAATCTTCTTCTCAAGAACCACTGAGCCAGAAAAGCTGAAACTTATGTGGAAGCATCCAGGGGTAGTGTAGATTCTAAATTGTTCAAATCATGACCCCCGGGGGTAGGGCGGGGCCACAATAGGGAATACAAGTTTTACATTGAAATATATAGGAAAAATATTTAGAAATCTTTTCAAGAACTACTGAGCCAGAAAAGCTGAAACTTATGTGGAAGCATCCTCAAGTAGTGTACATTCTAAATTATTCAAATCATGACCGCGGGGATGGGGGGGGGCATAATAGGGAATCCCAAGTTTTACATTGAAATATATAGGAAAAATCTTTAAAAATCTTCTCAAGAACCACTGGACCAGAAAAACTGAAACTTATGTGGAAGCATCCTGGGGTAGTGTAGATTCTAAATTGTTCAAATCATGGCCCCTGGGGGTCGGGCGGGGCCACAATAGGTATTACAAGGGGGGAAGTCTGGTAATGAACAGCATGGCCAAAGTTACTCAGGTGAGCGATGTGGCCCATGGGCCTCTTGTTTTAAAGATGTTAAACTGTAATTGCTTCAAACATATAAGCAGAATAATTCATTATTATGTAAGGAAGCTTGTCTACAGGGATTTTAAGAACAGCACCCAATACATATTTGGACACCATCTGAAAGGCTAAGACCATTTTCATTGTCTATCTTCATCTTATGAGCAAGTTTGTTTGGATTTTTCTGAAATATTTTCCCCCTTGATGCTTATACATTCTTTGGATTTTTTGTCAATGTAGAAGTGTGATCATCAAAATTGAACATCTTTGATGTGTTCCTTTTATGCCAGACTCAAAGTTGGTCCATTAAAAGAATTTACATGCAACTTCAGTTGTCATTTATGATGAAGATCTTTGTTTCCTATTGTTTACTGAGTAATTAAAGGCTTTTTTGTTTTTCTAATGTTTGATATACATTGAGATCATGAGTTCATGTTCAAAATTGTTTTTGTATACGTCTGATTGCATTATCTCAGTATTGGTGAAATATGTATGTGCAACAATTATCTCATTTGCACTTTTTGGCCAAAATTAAAATTCTGCCAAAATAATTCTTGTTTCTTTTTTATTAAATTATCAGATCTGAAAGCTAAAGTTAGCTTTTCTGATCACATTTTGTCTGCAGTCCGTCTGTCTGTCCGTTTTGCAGTAAACTTTTCACAATGTAGACTCATTCTCAATAACAACTGGGCTGATTTCAACCAAACTTGAATAATTCTTGTTTTCTTTTTATTAGGTTATCAGATTTGAAAGCTAAAGTTAGCTTTTCTGATCACTTTTTGTCTGCAGTCCGTCTGTCTGTCCGTTTTGCAGTAAACTTTTCACAATGTAGACTCATTCTCAATAACAACTGGGCTGATTTCAACCAAACTTGCCACAAAGCATCCTTGGGGGAAGGAAATTCTATTTAGTTCAAATAGTGCCACACCCTTCTTTACAGGGACATAATTAAGAATTAATGAAAATTTCATGGAACCTTTTAAAATCTTTCCAATACCCATTGGCCCAAAAATTAAAACATGTGAAACCTCCATCACATAGTGTAAATTCAAATATGTTCAAATCATGACCCAGGGGTTGGGTGGGCGACAACAGGGATAAAAGTTTTACATGGAATATATAGAAATATAGAAAAAGTTCTTCTCAAGAACAGCAATGTCATGATGATTATTCATATTGATATGGAACCATTCTCAGGTGGTGTAGACTCAAGTTTGTTCTAACCATGGCCTGGGGTAGGGTGGAGCCACAATGGGTACTAAAAGTTTTACACAGGAATATATAACAGAAAAAAATCAGATGATGAAGAACAGCGGGATAATATTGACTCAGGGGAATGCTTTGGCCCAATGGGACTCTTGTTACATGTGTGTTTGTAATGTAAAGAGCAGTTGACTTTGTCCATTGCCTAAAACATGAAACAAAAGACTTGTGCTCCTCGAAAGGAGAGAAGCATACATACATAGACTTGCTATTGTATGGTTGATAGATTGTGCTCTTCTTGATCAATAGCTTAACTAATACTATACACAAATGGTTTACTTCATATAGGGAAATGATGGTGAATGTTTGTTTGTTCATTTGCTGTTTAATGTCTCTCTCGAGAATTTTTCACTCATATGGAGATTCCACCACTTGCAAGTGGAGAGCTGCAGATTTTGACCTATACTCGGCGCTTAGGGCCATTGAGCATTGAGGGATCTTTTTCATGCCAGCACCTACTGCGACACGGGACCTCGGTTTATACGGTCACATCCGAAGGACCATTCTCCACATCCAACAGTGGGATTCGAACCCACGACGTAAGAATCAACTCCTCATTCCACAACATTAGATCAGACCCTCTACCAGTGCGCCACGCGGGCGACTGATATTCAATGAAAAATCTGATTAATTAATCACACAAATTTTCAGAATAAGTCAACAAATAGTTTTATTGAAATGTACATGAGGCAAACATCACAAATATGCTTAGGATAACGTATTCCATACATAAATCCATATGACACCCTCCCCCCAAAAAAACCCATTAGAGTCACTTGCTACAAACAGAATGAATCCTCCTCCTCCCTCCCCCCCCCCCATTCAAACAAAATCTGGTCCAAGTATTCTAGCATTCAGAATTGATATCTGCAGTACTTATAATCTAGTCAAAATATTTTTATCAATCCAATATTGGTTGTAGCAAGTTTCCTAATGAAATCTTCTAAATACTGTACATGAGATGATGCTTAATAGATACCAGTAAACAAATCATTGCATAGTGGTCTTAAGTGAGCAATAATACATTTTTCATTATAAGGAAATTTAAGATTTTCATATGAAATTATCCAAGACGTGAAAGAATAAACCCAGTATATTGGCCATACTGGTCGGGGTACTTGTCCCTTATTGTCCAAACACAACAACTGGGGATATCGCGACGTACTCCAATGCCCAGTCTGCCATGCTGCCACAGGATAAACTGTCTATACCCAGCATGTCTTTTTCCTTTATTATAGTCCGCATCCTGTGGTAATGCAAGTACATCCTGACGATACATTTGTGCAATGTGAAGAACAATTTCATCAAGGATCAATGATCTGAAATCCTGTAAATACAAAGAAAGTTCCCATTCATTCATTGTATTTATATTTTAGGCATGGAAGGCATAATATGCATGTATAATTAAATATTTAGGACTATTTACAGGAAGTTATGTCAAGCACTAATTTGCTGGTCTTCCACAACACACCCTCTCTGCCTGTGTTGGCATGTCTCTGTGTTTCAGACATGAGCACCAACTTGGTGACTCCCCACTTGGGTCTGGGTGAAAACCTCATCGAGGTAGGCTCTGAATACAATTATTTGAAAGAAAATATATATTACAG